AATCCAAACCTGAGACTATGTCTCCTCATTAAATTCTTGGTTGAGATCTAAATGCTACGCCTTTTGATAATGCATTAAGGTAGGCCCTTTAAAGTTAAGTAGAATGGAGTAAATAGTAGAGATTAGCCCTTTTACAGGATGGGAATCGGTTGCTAGCAACTTTTCATACTCGGTAAGAGCTACCCTTAATTTCCCAAATTTTCTAGAGTCCCAACAGATTTCGGACTTGAAGATATTCATACCAAGGCAATTTTACTTTATAAAATTTTTCTAGAACTATCTTATCTTTAACAAAGCCCTTAGCAGTGACATCTATAATTCTTGACATATTATGCCTTCTCCACGTCTGAAAAGAAGGGATCGAAGAAGCTGGTTGAAACCAGTATTGACCTGTAAAGTTCGTTAGAAGAGAAAATGGTGGAGCTAGAAGTTTGCTATACTTATTTCAGACTTTGAAGGTAGAATGTAAGAAGGGATGAGAGCTGACTCCCGTGTGTTTGAGGACTCTCGGGTTCCACAAAGATTCTATAAACGATTTAGTGCTTTTCCAACCCGCTCTATACATGTTTCTGTACTGCTTCACTAGATTAGCCAAAAGGATAGCATCATAATAGAGGTGCATGTCCGGAACTGCTTATCTCCAGATCTTAGTGGTTTCCTAAGAGTTAAGAAATTAATTCTAGGCTTACTGCACTGCCAAATAAATTCCAAAATTTCCTTTTGCCATTTGGAAAGAAGAGAATGTGGCAAAACAACGGGGATGGCCCTCATATAAAAAGTCATTTTCAGAAGAATAAGGGATTTCACCACTTCGATTCGCTCCAAGAGGTTGAGATGTAAGTCATTCCATTGACGTAACAGATCATGGATTTGTTTAGACATCTGTACGTGGTTTACCTGTACTAGATCCATCAATTTAAGGGAATCTGTATTTCCAGATATCTGAATGATGAAGTCACCCACTTATAACTGTAGTTAATTTTAAGAAGGGTTATAGTGTCTTTAGTTAGGTAAATTGGATATAGAAGAGTTTTGTCAATATTAAACCGAATTCCTGAAACTAGGCTAAAACTGGCCAAATGCCTTTCTGTTGATGGAAGCGAAACTTTGGGGTTGGATATGAATAGGATCATATCGTCTGCAAAAAGACTAATTTTTATTTTTTGGTTTTCTATAGGGATACCATCATAAATGAGGAATCATTTCACTTCAAATTAGTCCCTGTTGTAACAGATTGTCTGCAAGTACCCTTTTAAGTATATGCTTCTTTTTCTCTTTTGAGTAAGCTGGAGGTGGAGGCAGAAACTTTTCATGGCATTCTACCTTTGAATGGTTTGCTTTGAAAGGTTTGCTTTTCATTGTTCTACATTCTAGAGTGTTGGAGGGAAATCCCCATGAGTTAGGTCCATGGGAAAAGTTCATGAAAAAAGTTGGCAGAGTGGATCTTTCCCTGACTTCCCCAAGCAACCTGCCTTTTATCCCAAAACTCTTTTTTGGGGGTTGGGAGAGCCTTGCAAGCAAAAATGCAAAATGTAGCTATGAGAGGGAATTTGCTTCCCTCTGTCTCCTCCATTGGCATGAACCATGAGCAGAAGTGGGAGAAGGAGATTTTTAAAAACAGATTCTTCCATGTTGTAGCAGTGTCCCATCTTGTGACACATTTTGCTTTTGAGGCTCTTCTGACCCTTAGAGAGGAATTTGAGGACAAAGGCAGGCTGCCTGGGAAAAGGGAAATCTGCTCTGTCAACTCCTTTAGCTGGATCTCTTAGTTGTTCTCCCCAACTGAAATAAATGCATATTTTTCTCATTTTTTTCTCCTCTTCTCTAGGGAATTTGGGGGATCTAGATCCCTTCAAGAGACCTTAAGAAAGGGAACAAATAACTTGTTCTACTCTCATCATTAGTCATCCCATTTGCAAGCCCTTTAAGAGATGCACTGTGGAGGAATATGAACATAAGAAAAGCCTTACTGGATCAGACCAATGGTCCGTCTAGTCCAGCATCCCATCTCACACAGTGGCCAACCAGTTTCTCTGGATGGCCAACAACAGGGCATGGAGGCTGAGACTTTGCCCTGATGTTGCCTCCTGGCAATGGGATTCAGAGGATTAGCTCCTCTAGATTTGGAGGTTCCCCTCAGTCACCATGGCTAATAGCCACTGATAGATCTATCCTCCATGAATCTATCTAATCCCTTTTTAAAGCTGACAATATCAGTGCCATCACTACATCCTCTGGCAGTGAATTCTGCATTTTAACCACTCTGTGTAAAGAAGCTTTCCTTTTGTTTGTCTTGAATCTACTGCCCATCAGCTTCATTGGATATCCTTGAGTTCTAGTATTTTGGGAGAGAGAAAAAAAATCCCGTTGTCCACTCTCTCTACTCCATGCATAATTTAATAAACCTCTAACATGTCCCCCCCCTTAGTCATCTCTTTTCTAAACTGAAAGGTTCCAGACTCTTTAGCCTTTACTCATTGGGAAGGAGCTCCAACCTAATTAGGGATGGGCATGAACCACATTTTTGTGGTTCGGTTCATGGTTCTTGGCTGAACTACAAAGCAAACCCTGAACAAAATTGATACGCCAGTTCCCAAACTGAACTGTTTGTATAGGTTTGTGGGCCATTTGAAGTTTAAAACCTTGCTTTCTGCTCCCTGTGAAAGTGGGGGTAGCAGAAAACAGGTTTAAATGGCTCTGAGCCATTTAAACCATCCAGCTTTGCTCTCTGCCACTTTGAAGTGTGGGGGGAATCAGAGGGTTATATATGTGGTGAAGTGTGTCCCGGGGGCATTTCACCTCCTTCTTTCTGCTGGCCACAGCTTTCCCCAGCCAGCAAAAAGGAAGGGGTGAAGTGTCTCTCAGGCTGCTCTTGTCTGCTGGCTCTTGCAGCTGGATCCATCAGAGAGACAGACCTCTGACCTGAGGTCTAGGGAAGGTGGCCATTTTTGTCTATCCAGCTGGCAGAGAAAGCTGAAGGACACATGATATTGCAAATGGCGGATGGCCATTTTGGAACAGATGGAGAAAGGATATGACACAGACTTTCCTGATCAAGCAAGCTGTCATAGAAGAGTGGATTGATGATGGGCTGGGAAGTGGAAAACGGCCATATTTACCATTCAGGATCCAAGTTAAATGGATGCCAGTTCAAATACAGTTATTGTACTGGGTTTGTGCCCTTTCAACAGCATCTTGTTAACTCTAGCTGGACAGTAGTGAAGCTAGGCCTCAAAAGGCTGTTAGAGAGTACTACAGAGCAACCATTGGCCCATCAACCGCCATTCAAGAGTACTCACGTGCCATCTGCTCCTCTCCCCCACCCACTCTTCCCTCACAGAATAAACTGTCAAAACGGCTGTCTCTCCTGACGAAGATACTTCTGCTTGGCTCCTGTAGGACTAACATTTCCCTCAGTGGCTGTTGCTAGGCAACCAAGCTTGGTTCTGTCAGTAAAAAGGCAAAGACAGGAGGCCCTTTCCAGGCCTTTGTGGGGAACTCATTGGGGCTCATCCTGACTAGGGTTGCTAGCTCCAGGTTGGGACATTCCGGGATATTTTGTGATGGAGTCTACGGAAGCCAGAGTTTGGGGAGGGGAGAGGCCTCAGCTGAATAGAATGCCATAGAGCCCACCCTCCAAAGCAGTTATTTTCTCCAGGGCAGGAGAGATCTGTTGTCTGGAGTTCGGTTGTGATACCTGGCGATCGTCAGGCTCCACCTGGAAATTGGCTACCCTAGGTGTGACAGTTAGTGCTTCAGAGCAGGGTCTGCTAGACCCAGGTTCTTGCTGTGGACGTTGAGTGGGTGATTTTGTACCAGTCGCAGACTTTTAGCCTAACCTACCTCAAAGGTTGTTGTGCAGAGCAAAATGGGGAGAGGAGAATGATGTAAGTTGGGTAGGGGTAGGACCTCAGAGGTACAATGCCGTAGACTCCATCCTCCAAACAAGTGGTTTCATCCTGAGGAACCATTGTTGTGAGTCTCCAGGTGAGGGCTGGAGATGACTCAGAATTACAACTGTTCTTCAGATGGCAGAGATCTGTTCCCCTGGAGAACACGGTAAGCTCTGTGTCATTATACTCTGCTGAGGTCACCATGGCAAATTGACACAGAGTGCTCTCTCACCATGGCAAATTGACACAGAGTGCTCAAGGCTAGGGCACCTGCCCAGAGCCTCTTTCTAGAACTCGTTGTATTTATTTCCACAACGGGTCTTCTTCCTAGTAAGTCTATAAGTTTGAACCTCACCTCCCATTCCATTGTATTTGAAAAAGTGTGCATGCACATGAAAGCTCATACCTTGAATAAACCTTTGTTGGTCTTAAAGTAAAGGTAAAAGTTCCCTTGCTCGAAAGCCAGTCGAATCCGACTCTAGGATTGCGGTGCTCATCTCCGTTTCAAAGCCGAAGAGCCAGAGCTGTCCGAAGACATTTCCGTGGTCATGTGGTGGGCATGACTAAACACCAAGGCGCACGGAACGCTGTTACCTTCCCACTGAAGTAGTACCTATTTATCTACTTGCAATTTCTTGCTTTCGAACTGCTAGGTTGGCAGGAGCTGGAACTAGAGACAGGAGCTCACTCCGTCATGGGGCACACTCGGGTCTCGAACTGCTGAATTACCGACCTTCCACAGCCTGCAGTTCAGCGTCTTAACACTTTAGCCACCACAGCAGTTGGTCTTAAAAGACTCTAATTTTTTTCTGTTGTTTGCTACTGTACAGATGACATAAGACCTTATGTGCTATATCCTTTTTATAATAATAATAACAACAATAACAGGTATTTCAAGCCAAAAACTAAATATAACTTGAGATTTCTGATGTTAGCTTCCTGTGTAAGGAGAGAGAGGATCTGGGACAAAGACTCAGAACACTCATAGAAGCTCAGTTATTTCTCCAGTTACACCTTTCTTATACGGCAAGGTTATATTCCCCATTTATGGAATCTAAAGTTGCACAGCCATATATAAAGTAAAGTGTTTTATATTTTCATTGGCAGGTGTTGTTAGTGAGCAGTAGTCGTCATCCAGATAGATGGATTGTTCCTGGAGGTGGTATGGAGCCGGAAGAGGAGCCCAGCGTGGCTGCTGTGCGGGAAGTTTGTGAAGAGGTGAGCCACTGATTAAAGACCTGGTACTGTTTACTAATTCCTTCTTGAACAATCAACAATCAACAGAGAGGAAAAAACAAGTAATTGCAATTGTCTTGTGGATTTAACATTTATGAAATAATATGTAGCTCTTAACTGAGGTAGAAACTGCAGTAGTATTTTGTCTTTGATGTGGCATGGTATAGTAGATCCCAATCTCATCAGATCTCGAAAACTAAGCAGGGTTGGCACCAAGGAAGAGAGAGATGGGAGAGCACCAAGGAAGCCTTTGCAGAGGAAGGCAGTGGCAAACCACCTCTGCTTAATTGCTTATCTTGAAAACCCTATAGGGTTTTCATACATTGGCTGCAACTTGATGGCACTTTACGCACACACGCACACACATTTTGTCTCTAACCTGGTATCTTTAGCCTGACATAGAACAGAAATTCTCAGAGAGATTTCTCCTCCTCCTCCTCCTCCTCCTCCTCTTCCTCCTCTTCTTCCTCTTCCTCCTGTTTTAACTTTGGCATTCATGCCTCGTTGTTAGCCGCCTTGAGCCTTTGGGGAGGGCAGGATATAAATCGAAAAGTAAATAAAAAAATAAATAAAACAGCAGATGAGTTCCATATATTTGCTTGTAATGTGTAGTTTTATCACATACTCATCCTGGTCTGCATGTTTGTAAAAACAGTATTAGACATGTTCTTTCAGAAATATTAAAGGCTGTTTCTTGCATTACTTATTGTACAGATTCTAGGGTAAAAACATAGGTTGCATCCTCTCTGAAAAGTAAATGTAGATTTAAGTCTCCACTTTTATTTGCCAGATAGACAGATACAGCACTCGGGAAAGAATTCATTCATATTGCTGAGAAAAGTAGTGATTTTGTGTATATCACTTTCAAATGAGTAGATATTATCTGTACCTGAGTACAAAATGTCATATCAATTGTGTACAGAAGCATTATGACCCAAGATAGTGTAAAGAAAGGGCAGTGACTGAAACACTGGAATTCTTTGTTTGTAAAGAGAAAGGCTTCTTTATTTATTTACATCCTGCTTTTCTCCCAAAAGGACCCAAAGCAGCTAACAAGAAAAACATATAAATAAACCAGTGCACAGCAAACAGACCAAAAAACTATAACATTTGTACATCTCAGGGTAGTCCTGGATTCATTACCTGGCTTGATTAAAGTTACAGGTAGTGAACTGCAGGGCTAAGATCCCTTTGGCTCCTGCCCCTCAGCTTGCTCTTCTGACCATGCCCAAAGTTTATAATGTGCCCAAGACAGAAAGTGGAAAAATAATTATCAGCAAAGATGCTCTTCCCAATCTACCTGCTGCAGAGCTTTAAAAAAAAAAATTATTGCTTTTCTACTACACACTACAGAGGAAAAGGATATATGGAGTACTAACACTAATAAAACGACATATAGCAAGGATCATAATACATATGAATTACTGATTTATCATTCCTACTAAGAACATAAGAACATAAGAAACGCCAATGTTGGATCAGGCCAGAGGCCCATCCAGTCCAACACTCTGTGTCACACAGTGGCCAGAAATACCAGGTGCCATCAGGAGGTCCACCAGTGGGGCCAGGACATTAGAAGCCCTCCCACTGTTGACCCCCCCCCCCCAAGCACCAAGAAGACAGAGCATCACTTGCCCCAGAGCCCCTATCTATACCTTGTGGCTAATAGCCACTGATGGACCTCTGCTCCATATGCTTATCTAATTCCCTTTTGAAGCTGTCCATGCTTGTAGCCGCCACCACTTCCTGTGGCAGTGAATTCCATGTGTTAATCACTCTTTGGGTGAAGAAGTACTTCCTTTTATCTGTTCTAACCTGACCGCTCAGCAGTTTCATGGAGTGCCCACGAGTTCTTGTATTGTGAGAAAGGGAGAAAAGTACCTCTTTCTCTACCTGCTCTTTCCCATGCATAATCTTATAAACCTCAATCATGTCACCCCTCAGTCTATTATCAGATTACAAACATGATGATACTGGTTTTCTTATTTCACTAAGACTAAGTCAAACCCATTTAGTCTTATTGGATACATCATAGAAACTTAAGGCACTCGTGGACTTTCAGGATTTCAGTAAAGTCACTATTTCCTGTGTTTAGCTTTATCAAATTTCAGTTGGACTTTAAGTGTTTTTGCAGCTGCTACTCCTTTTTCAGAATCAGACTCTTCTGCAGAGCTGCCAAAATAATTTCACTGGCTTCTGAGTCATGATCGCTTTTTTCCTCTGTTTGTACGGTGGCCTCTGCTTTCCCTTGGACTTTGGATGTGGATTGTTGCTGATCTAGGAACATTTTTGCTTTTTGGACAGAATCGATCTTCTCTTTTTTTCCGTTGTATTTGAAGATAAGTCCTTCTGGAAATATCCATCTGAAGGGAGTGGAGTTCTTATGCAGAAAAGCAGTTAGATTTTTGTACTGTCGTCTCCTCTTGCGGATTTCAAATGGAATGTCTTTTAAAATCTTCACCTTTGATTTTCAGTGGATTCCCATTTGTCGCTTTTAAAATTGCATCTCTTGTTGATCTTTTGGAGAATTTAACAAATATTTCGCCAGGCAGTTTATTTTTCTTGATAAAATCCGGATAGATTCGATAAACCATATCCATATCGCTTTGTAGTGAATCCAATTTTAAATCTGCCATTGGTGTCAATGCTTCGCTCAAAAGATCTTTTAAATTCTCCCCTTGTTGTTCTGTGATACCCTGGAATCGCAGGATGTATGATGATTTTTCCATTTGTAGCTGTAACAATTGTTCTTTATTGGAGATCCTTTCTTTTTCCACTTCCTCCAGTTGCTGTTTGATAGCATTCGCCTTATCGTCAACTTGTTTCATTGCTTTATTCATCTCATCTGTCTTCTTGGCTGTGTCCATAATTTGCTTCTGGAGACAGTCTAATTTGCTATTGACATTAGTTTCAGCAGAGGGTGCAACGCCGTGGCCATCTTGTTTGGGAAGTCAGTGACTGCTTCCGGTTTATGAGCTGAGGTCACTGAACTGGCACTTCCTGGAGAAGGTCTTCGCTTTTTCGCCATCTTGTCTCCTCTGGTTGACATTGTTTACACAAGAATAAAGTTCGTTTGAGAAGGCTGTAAGTCTATTTCTTTCTTTCCGCGTTGAGCTATTTTGTACCCCTTTCAGCTAGATTGAAGCTTTTCTATTTAGAACCATCTCTTGCCTCCAAATTATTGCTTAGAAACTGCTTTTCTTTTCAGGGGGGGATCCCCAGCTCCTCCCCTCCCACTGTAGGAATTTGGGGCTTGTGATCGGTTCTCCGCTTTAACGTTTGACTAGCTCATCGGGGCTTCGATCAACTCACAGTTCATTCCGACGGGTTTTTTTCAAAGTAGGAAGAGCTTTGAATCACAGGATCACTTGCTCGCCTCGTCCGGCATGTGCTTCTAAATGCCATAATGGCCTCGCGGCAGCGGGACCTATCAGGGTAAAGGGGAACCTCCTTGGCCATCGCCTCAGAAGAGACACCCCTCAGCACCCCAGGCTGCAAACCCCCTGCAGGGGCTCTAGGGGGGCATGGAAACGTCCATGCCCCCTCCCATCTCCTGCGATTCAGGTCACTTACAACAGAGCGTGATGTGAGCACACCCGTCCAGCGAATCGCCAAAACTGGAAATCCCTGAGCTTTTGACTATGCCCCAAGTTTTATAAGGTACGTGAGGCAAGAGGAGAAAAAACATTTTTCAGGAAACATGTTACGTGGCTGGCAAAGATTTTTCTCCTTTTCCTCCCTTTTTGTGTTAGGTTAAGAATTCTATGGGAGAACCTCCTGAGCCTTGACTGTGAAAACATGCCTTTAATACTACCATTCAATGTCTATTTTGTACTAGCCATAACAACATTCTGTTGACAGGACTGTTTGAAATTGCATGTATATAACAACTGGTCAACCTTTTTAGAGGCTTGGGTGGATTTCTTACATAATGCTGCTCAATTCTCTATACAAACAAATGGACATGAGCAGCTGAGGGACATAAAGGGAAGTTTCTGGCAGAGCTGCTCCCATTGCAAGAGTGTAAGTCTTATCCTTGGAAGACAGAGAGATGTACCACAATAGGGCTACATCTCTTTGGCCTACTACTGTGTGCACTTAGAACACATATGCAAAGATTTTGCTAATGAGAAAGGGCATGTTGTGCAAAAGGGAGAACTTTGCACAAACAGCCAAGAAAGAGAACAAACATTATTTCAAGATATTGCCAACACTGCTCTGCTCAGAACCCTTACTGGTACTCCATCTCGAGACACACCCACACAACTGGATCCTCCACTCCTTCAGCTTCACCTCACACAAGTAAGCGAGGGAGGAATACCTTCTGCCTCAAGCTTTGTTTGCTGTGAATATTCCCCCCCCCAAACATGTACCTACTGTGGTTTGGCTCAATAACACTTCTTACCACCCTCCATAGTTCCTAGCCATGTCTCCAAGCAGCTTTCCAACATGCGAGGAGGCCAGGATGAACCTCATTCAGAGTACAGTACCAGCCAGCTGCTGAGATCTACAAAATGACCAGCAACTGTACTGACTAGTATACATCTAGCTGTTTTGCTTTGTGATTGCCATATGTCTCTTTCTAGTCTAGGTCCTCCACCATTGCAAGCTGCTTAACATACAGCTGCCAGCACAGTTATGCCTGTCATGAGCATGCAGTTAAAGTGATAGCTGTACCCATGATTCTATTGTCTGTCAGGACAGACTTCTAGACCAAGAGAGGTGACAACCACATTTATCTGGCTTGCCTTCAGACTACCTTTCCTGCTGCTGTTCTATGAAAGTTTGGATTGATTCACGACTGTGATTATGTTTTGATGAGGTTTGGTAGATAGGGATCTATCCTTACTCCCCACGTTACTAACTACAGCTGTCTTCAGCATGTAACTAGTACTGGGAGGGGACTGAGAGAGTCCTCCAGTGTCTGTGCAGTTGTGCTACAGCAAGGGGGAGGACACTGAACACTGCTGGCTACATGGTGGGGAGGGGACATAGCTTCTTGGATGAATATTAGCAGACAGCAGTAATGAGCATCATATATCCAGCAGGGTGAGGAGGGGCTGAACAAGATGATTGAAGTCCAGGGCAGCAGTGGCTTATCTCCAGTGTTGAGAACTGATGCTATAAGACCAGAACTGTGCCTCAGACCCTTTTCAGGGCAGTCTATTAGTTAGCCCCCATATGTTAAGCCTGTGCTATTCTATAGCATTAGGCTTTTATCAGCCATCTATCCTGCTTTGCTATATGGCTGTTTTGACACCATGGCCAATGGAGGGTTTGAAGTGTCCCATGATGAACCTTTCTCCTGTGTGCACAGTTCTGTGTGTGCAGGGGCAGTACGGTACAAAAATGGTTTTCAGTGTTTCCGGTGTGTGTTCTCGTCCTGCCTCCTTCTATTTTGCTGCTTATTTGCTTGTTGCTTGCCAGAAGATGGGCTTTGCTTTGTTACCAATTTGCCCCTTGATGGAATTTGAACCCCTAATTCCTGTTTTCCTCCATGTGTGTTTTTCTCCAGTGAGTTACTGGGGAGATGATTGGGAACACCTTCTGTGAATGTGCAGTTGTGTGTTCTCTTTAGCGTCTGTCCCGTCTTGTAAATAGCTGCTTCTAAGATGTTACATAACCCTCCTTTACATGAGAGAGGCCCTTGACTTTTTGTGGGGACTTTCTATGCCAAGGGTGGTGTTGATATGACTGTCTGTTCTTTCTTCTCTGTATGACCCCTATCAAAAAGGTATGCATTTGCTGCAGAGCTCCCAGGAACATGTTATAGAACTCCTACTGGGCATGCCATAACCCTCCCCACAGCAGAGGGTACTTGTTCCTTCCCTTGTTCCTTCCTTCCTTCTGTCATGGGATGAGGGTGTGCTGACATCACCATGTGTTGGTTGGCTGCTTCTGTATATGGTGGAGACGGGACTGCTGGAATGCTGCTCCAAGATTAGTTGGTATTCCTATGGACTCCAGTGAAGTTTCTATACTTTCAGTTCCCTGGAGTGGTTCTTTTCAAAATTTCTTTCATCTACGGGCAGAGCAAGGGGTACTGATTAGCTGTGTGTCTGGGCTTTAGGCTTAAGCCGTTAAATAAGCAGCTAAAAAGTCTTCAATAGTTTTTGTATACATAGTGCAGTTAGAGGCAGCTTTGTTATGGGGCAAGGTGTGGCAGAGTAGGAAAGAAAGTTACTACTTGTATGTGGGGTTATGTTTGGCGTTTCTGACTTGGGTACTAAAAGAGGTCTAGGATCTCATTTATCAAAGGATGTTAAATTTAATATAGTATCGCTAGTAGAGCTTGAATTGTTTTATTTATTTATTTGATTTTCAGGCTGCCTTCCGCTATGCAAGGGCTCGGGGCAGTGAACATCATATCAATAAATACATTTATGAATCAACCATAATAAAAATTAAGACTGTTAAAACAATTAAAACAGTAATAAAACTAGCTCTATCAGAATGGCTTTTAAAGGGCACGTTTATGTCCTTTCCCTATGCGGGAGAGGAGAGATGCAGGAAGCCAAGCTCAGTGGCATTTTAGGACACTTTATGTTCTATCCTCATGAGGGAAGAGGAGAGATGGAGGAGGCCAGGCTTGATAGTAACCATGGCTGTACTCAACCATAGGTCTGGAAGAACATCTCTGTTTTACAGGCCCTACAGAACTGCACTAAGTCCTGCAGGGCCTGGTTAGCATTAGGCAGAGAGTTCCACCAGGTTGGTGCGAGAGCCAAAAAGTCCCTGGGTCTGGTCAAGGACAGCCAGATATCTTTTGGGCCAGGGACCACCTAAGCGGTTCTTCTCTCCAGAGCATATTGCTCTTTGGGGGTGTATCTGGAGAGGTGGTCCCGTAGATACTTTGGTCCCAGACCGTTTAGGGCCTTTGAAGACTAGTACCAAAACTTTGAACCTGATCCGGTACTCAGTCTGGACCCAGTGTAGCACCAGTTGAATGTGTGCTGTCAGTGGGGTCTCTGTAAGGCTTGGGTCGCTGCATTCTGGACCAGTTGTAATTTCCGGGTAAGTCTCAAGGTTAGCCCTGCATAGAGTGAGTTGCAGTAGTCTAGCCTGGAAGTGACTGTTGCATGGATTACTGTGGCTAGGTTGGGGCGAGACAGGTAGGGGACCAGTTGCGTGATCTGGCACGGCTGGAAAAATGCCAGCTTGGCAACATTTGTGATCTGGGCCTCCATTGATAAGGAGGCAACCAGAAGCACACCCAGGCTCCTGGCAGTTGGCACTAGTGTAGTGTTAAAGGTACACCATCAAGAGCCAGTACTTCCCTTGATCCCCACCCAGCCACAGAACCTCTGTCTTTGATGGACAGTTTCAGCCAGCTCTGCTTCAGCCATCCAACCATGTCCTCCAGCCCTTCAGCCAAAAAGATGGAGTGGCATGTGACCATCCATCCATCAGTAGATACATCTGGGTGTCATCCACATACTGATAACAACCCAGTCCAAAACTCTGTGCCACCTAGGTGAGGTGTTAAACAAAACTGCGGAGAAGATAGCCCCCTGAGGGACCCCACATACCAAGGTGACACTCTCTCTCTCAGCACCACCCTCTGTCCCCAACCATGGAGAAATGAGGTAAGGCACTTCAAGGCCACCGTGTTGAATGCTGCTGTCAGATCTAACAGTAACAGCAGCACTGACCCGCCTTGATCCAGCTACTGGCAGAGATTGTCCATGAGAGTGACCAGCACCATCTCCAAGGGTTGTTTTACTTTTTATTTGATGGAGACAGTGGTAAGATGCTGATTTGGGAACTATCTTGTGATTTAACATTAAGCTAAGGTGTATCTATGATACAGATTCTTAATGTGTGTACTAATGAAGCAGAAAAGTTTATTTCAATCCTGTTACTTGTATGTATTTTACATTAATTGTTTCTTGCGTAATTTTTTCCTTTTTGCTCATAAATTGGGTAGTCTAACTGAAGTAAGGAAAGCAGTCATTCTGTAAGTTAGGAGAATGAAATGTTTTTTTCTCTTTTTAAAAATTTTCCTAGGCTGGTGTGAAAGGGACATTAGGAAGATTAGTAGGAATTTTTGAGGTAAGTATCAAAACAATTATTGGCATTGATAAAACACCTGTCTGTAAAACCATGCATGTTATGAGGCTATGATTTGAAAACTTGTAAAGTTTTCAGTGAGATGGATGGCAAGGTTGCTGATTTGGGAACTATCTTGTGATTTAACATTAAGCTAATGTCACTTTTCCTCTATTTATAGTAGAGGACATAGAAAACAGTAGTATTTGCCAAGAGGCAGGGACAAAACTACAAAGATTAATTCTGGAGGTATAGTCACATGTTGTCTCATGTTCTAAGTACTTTTTTAATATCCTTAAGTGACCCTGATGTGGTATTACTGTCAGTATAGCTTTGTAGAGGGAATGGTCTCACTATTACTAGTACAGTGTACTTGCTGTTTTATTAAAGGCACTTTTATGACTGCCTACATTGTCTTACAAAAAAAATAACCTTTAATAGTTTCTGCAAACATTGTTTACCTTGCATTTCACTTTTTAATGTTGGCCTTGCTCTTTTCAGAATCAGGACAGGAAGCACAGAACATATGTTTACGTACTTATTGTCACAGAAGTGCTGGAAGACTGGGAGGACTCTGTGAATATCGGTAAGACTAGTAGCTAAATTCCTTTCTTCTTTGAATTTAATGCTCTTGTTTATTTCTTGGAAGTCAAAATTTACTGGACTTGAGTTATTTTCATGACATTTTCTTTGTGGGGTGGGACATTCATTGTTTAGACTGAACTCAACTCCTGAAGCACTTTTGAATAACTAGAACACTCTTAACAGATTCGTCAGAACCTTAGTTTGTACGTTTTTTAAAAATCTAGTTTTCATAATTGTAGTTAAATGGTGGTAAATATTGAACAATCAAAACAGTGCTTACAGTCCAGGTCTGTTTTATTTTTTTTAAGCTCAAAGTGTATATCAAACTGCTGTTGGTTGATTAATTCCAAGACAGTCTTGCACTCTAGTGTGAATCAACTTGCTTACCTCTTTAACTTCAGTGTTTTTGTCAGTGTCAAAAAGATATGCAAATTTATTACATATATTGAAAATCTGCAAATTGTGTCTAGTCTGAATTATGATTTTTACAAGTGGAGACCCGCAAGAAACATGCGGAATGGTTATCCTATTCCTCACACCTGTGCTTCCTCCTGTCTTCCTCTACCTCTCTCACACGCTTT